AAAAAAAAGAAACCTCTCCAAAAAAATAAATAAATTTAAAAATAAAAAGCCGCGAGCCAGCTTCCAGTAGCTGGCATGGCTCTATTTCCTAACCTGGGTGATGGTGGTGTGTCTACTTCCCTTAATATAATTCAGGAACCTAGACATTTGTTTCTGGTTTTCTATTTTTATTTTAATCATACAATTTTTAGTGAAATGCTTACATACATATTCATAACCTATACATGTGTTTTATGTTAATCATACCCTTCCTCCACACCGCCCCCCCAAATTTATAGACATAGTTCTCAGATTTGGCCATCAGGCACTTTCAAGGACTTAAGACTTCTAATGATTTTTTTCCTTCAGATTTTTGCTATAGGGCACGTGCGCTCCCCAGAGAAAAAGTGAGAAATCAATCTTTGTGGAGAAGCCAGTGGGATGGCCACACTGCAATCCCTTTTCCATTTTCCTCCTGGGATTCTGGGCACACGCACACACGCACCCAGCATGAGTCTCAAGCTGCCTGGTCCAGGACTCAGACTGCAGTTGGCCACGTGGGAGCCCAGAGCCTTAATAACTATGTCACCTACTGGCCCCAAGACTTCTATTGATTCTATTCTTGGGCACTGGGCCTTCTGCTTTTCTGAACAATAAGGAAAACAGAATAAAACCTTACTGCATACCTGCACCAATGACATCACAGACACAGAATTAAGTGCTGGTGAATCAATATATAAAAAGATGAATGCCCACTAGATTAAAGGATAGAGAACATGAATAGATGATTCATGGGGAAAATATAAATTGCCAATAAAAACAGTGAATGGTACACTCAACCCCTTAATAATTAAAATGACTTGATAATTCTCTTGTCTTACCTTGGCAAAGACCAAAATTGATGATTCTTATACAGTACTGGGCAGGGCGTAGGGAACCTAACATTCACATGATCGGGGCAAGGTAACATGAATCTTAGCTATCGATTTGGTGGGGCCCTAGGGGTTAAGGGAACTGGATATGTGGCCAACCGTGTAGTTTAAGTCCTCAACCTGGCAACTTAAGAAACACAGGTGTCCAATGGAGTGGAGGACAGAGGATTGCATGCCCACACTCCATTGAGGGGTGCTTTCTCCCTTTCCCTCTCATTCTTCCCTAGCAAACACACATGCCTTCTGACAATTAAAAAAAAAATTGAATGATATATATATATATATAAATTTTTCTTTATCATTAACATTTTTAGTGCACATTCTTTAAGTCAGTTTCCATTAATTCCTACTACAGAAATCAGAAATATGAAAACACATGTACAAAAATGTACATTATTTGCAACAACGGAAAACAGAATAGCCCAAATGTCTATCAATGGGAGATTTAACTAAGCTATACATTGAAGTCATTAAAAAGAATGACGGGTACTTATTCTGAAGGTACCCCACAACATAAATGCAAAAAGTAAAACTTCGTATCAGTGTACATTGATACTAGTGGGAGTCATATTACACCACGGTTCTATTAGGTGTCAACACCTATGTAATTCTTTTTTTCTTCTTCCAATTTTGCCACAGGATGAATGCATTCACCAGACAGAAAGTGAGAAATCACCCACCAAGAAGTATGGCAATCCCTTCTCCTCCACTCTGTTCTCAGAATTTTGGGCACACACAAACACACACACACACATGAGTCCAGCATGACTTTCAAGCCACCAGGTCCAGGATTTGAACTGTGCATTCAGCTATCCAGGACCCAGCTGCCTTAACTACAGGATGAATGTATTCACCAGACAGAAAGTGAGAAATCACCCACCAAGAAGTATGGCAATCCCTTCTCCTCCACTCTGTTCTCAGAATTTTGGGCACACACAAACACACACACACACATGAGTCCAGCATGACTTTCAAGCCACCAGGTCCAGGATTTGAACTGTGCATTCAGCTATCCAGGACCCAGCTGCCTTAACCTTCATGCACCTGCTGGCCCCAACTCCCATGTAATTTTAACATTAGGTTAAAAAATGTGGACATCATTTTAGTTTAAACTGTTACCATCTATATTTTTTGAAAGAGTAACATTAATACTATTAAAGAGTAATTGACATGGCAGAACTTGAAAAATTCAAGCATGTCATTCTTGGACCAAATGAGTCATGGATCACTCATCAATCTTGCTTCAGCAGGCCAGGGACTTTCTCGTTCATGTGACATCTGACAATGCTTCCTTCTCAGAAGGTAAAGAATGGTCAACTTTTCCTATCCTTAAGAGATCATTTATGTAAGTTTTAACAAACAGGGATGTCCTTTAATCTTTTTATTTTTGCATGCATGCCTTTCTGCTATCCGAAAAAAGAACTCATCTTAGAGACGAAGCAGTGAAGAAAATATTAGAGTTGAATGCTATCACTGTTGCTCAATTACTTTGGGATTAAAATCTCTGACAGCTAACTAGGTATGTGAGACTGGACAAATCCTCTCCAAGCCTGTTTGTTCTTCATTAAATAAAGGCAGAAATTGGGTTTCTGGAAGTCAAAATGAGGTACAAAATATTTAACCAAGCAAAGAGTGCATATTTTTTAAGTTTCTGTTAGAGTACTGTATAAAACTGTTATTTTAAGAAACACTGTCGATTAAAGAACATATAAAAAAGACAAAAAGGAGGCCAGCAGGTGGTGTAGTGCTTAACTGTCTGGACTCCCACATGGTTGACTGTGCTTCAAGTCCCAGACCCAGTGACTTGAAATTCACACCGCAGATGTGCCTGCATGCCCAGGATCCCAAGAGGAAAATGGAGAAGGGATTGCAGCATGGCCATCACCCCTGGGAGGTGGTTTCTCTCTCTGGCGAGCACATGTGCCCTATAGCAAAAATATAAGGAAAAAAAAGACAAAAAGAGGGCGAGCCAGTGGCACCTGGTTAAGGTGCCTGGATCCCAGATGACCAACTGCACAGTACGAGTCCTGGACTCAATGACTTGAAAAAGATCATGGGGCCAGCAGGTAATGTAGTGGTAGAGGTGCTGGACTCCCACATGGCCAACCATGGTTTAAGTCCTAGACCTGACAGCTTGCTTTCTCTCTCTGTGTTTAAAAATCAGTCAATCAGGACCAGCAAGTGGTGTGTGGTGATTAAAGCACTGGATACTCCCACATAGCCAACCACAGTTCAAGTCCCAGACCTGGTGGCTGGCTTTCTCACTTCCCTCTCTCTCTCTCTCTAGTCAAATTAAAATAAATGAATAAATTAAATTAAAATTTTTTTAAATCAATCATTCAATTACACCAGGCACATGTGTATGCATGCTCAAAATCATGAGAAAATGGAGAACACATGTGCCCTGTGGCAAATTTACATGTAAAAAGACAAAAAGAAATAGTGACTACTAAATCACTACATATTTATGTAACTTATATTAAAAATAAAAATTCAGAGGCCAACAGGTGGCATGGAAGTTAAGGTACTTAAGTCCACATGGCAGACTGCGCAGCTCCAGTCCGAGCCCCAGCTTCAGCGGCTTGAGAAATAACATGAAGGGGACCAGCAGTTAGCGTAATGGCTATGTCTCTGGACTCCAATGTAGTCGACCGTGGTTCACATCCTGGACCCGGTACCTTAAAACTCACACCGGGCGCGTGTGCGTGCGTGCCCAGGATCCCAAGAGAAGGGACTGAGGCATGGCCATCCCCCTGGGGGGTGATTTCTCGCTGTCTGGCGAGTGCACGCGCCCTATGGCAAAAACCTCTCAAAAAATAAAATAACGGTAAGCACACATGTGTATATGCCTCAAATCCCAAGAGAATAGAAGTGATTATGGCATGGCCAATCCTCCTGGGGGCTGATTACTCACTTTCCCTCTCTCTCTCTCTGGCAAACACATTTGCCCTATAGCAAAAAAACTAAAGAAAAAAAAATTCAGGACACCCCATGGCCTGGTGCTTAAGGTGGCTGAATCCCATAGGCAACTGCATGGTTTAAGTCCTGGATCCAGAGGCTTGAAAAACACACCGGACACAAGTGCATGCCCAAAATCCCAGAAAGAGAAAGAAATGGAAAGGGACTGTGACCTGACTATGCTCCAGGGGAGGTGCATTACCACTTTTCCTGTGTCCCTCTCTGGAGAACATACATACCCTCTGTATTTGTGTGTTTATAATATACACGATATATATGTGTGTGTGTGTGTGTGTGTGTATATGATATTGACTGCCTGATTCTTAGTTCTAAAGGCTTTTAACCAAAGTGGCCTAAACCTGTGAAAATACTTCTACCATAAAGAACTAACTACTTCCATGGAGTCCTACCATAATTCTGCTTTAAAGAGGACTATAAGTGACAGCCTTTTGTAGGAGAAAAGAGTTCTAGATATCACCTGGCCCTCTGGATTTTGCTATTTTTCCTTTCCTCTGGCAACACACCCATACAGCTGAGCACGCACTCTGAAACAGACACTGACAGAAGGACAGGAGGCCTTTCGCCCTTCCTGGGAATACTGATGCTGCTGGTGAAGTGAGAAATACCTTAGAAGTGCCCATTACTGCATGAACAAAATCTTTGCAAGAGAAAACGGTGAATTTTCACCAGGTAAGAATTTTCAATATTCTGCTATCAATTTCCAGTATCCACTTTATGGAAAGAAACTTTAATAGTTCCTACATCTATCACCAATATTGTTGCTTTTAGAGAAAAATGAGGTTATTTTAATTAAAGAAAAACCCATCTTTTCCCCATACATGAAAACGGACTGGTAAAGTACAGCACCTGGCCTGCGTGCCTGCTGATGAAGATTTATTGGAGCACAGCCCAACCCACTTATGTGCACTATGACAGCTTTCATTCTGCAGAGCTGAGTCATCTCAACAGACACCATATGTGACTCTAAATATTTTAAACTTGTTTACAGTCTGGCTCTTGAAGAAGTAGTTTGCCAACCCCTGCACTGAAATATTATGATGTTATAACTAAGCAAAACTTCATGTGAAAGAAAACTAAGTGAGAACACAAAAATACAAATGACATGCTTGCTCTAATTCAGGCACTTTCAAGATCATTAAGTTTATTTATTACTTCAGATAAAAAGATAGTATACATATTAGGGAATCCCTTAAAATTCACCTCTAGAGTTATACACCATCTAGTAGTTTTGCACTGAAGGTTAACCAAAACAAATCTCTAAACACCTGAAAGCCCCACTATTAATATGAACTATGATAATAAAAAATTTTGACATTTAATTTGTTCCATGTATAGTATTTACATTATGAAACCAATGGTGGTATGCTAAACAGTGATAAAGAAATAGTAAAAATAAACTTTAAAAAGAAAAGATTTATATAGTTTTACAATGTGCTAATTATCATAATTGTATATAAAAAATTAAAACACAACAGAGCTTTCTGTTACAAAATTCTCTTAATCATTTTGAGTTGTATTCATTACTTGCTATCAATTTACATGCAACATCTGCTAGGACTGACGATTGATTTTTTTTAATCCAAGAAAGTGTGAGTAGATAAATGACATTTCAAAGCAGACATTAATTTATTTGTGGACAGAAAAAGAAAAACTGTACTCAAGATTAGTACTGGTCACAAGCCTCTTCCCTATAGAAATTGTAAAAATAGCTAAGACTTGAAAACAAATAGGAGATGCATAGGCAAAGAGTACCATGAATGGCACAGCTCAAAGTATGTCAGGACCAATCAGACTCCATTCACACACATCTCTCTCCTTCAATGAGAGGTCTGTTCTGCCATCAAATAACAACGAAGCAAGTTAGGGGCACCAGGTGTACAACTAATTAAATCTTGCAAAATACTAAGATGGGGCAGGGGTGGCCAGAAGAAGAGGCAATTTATATATAATTCTAACTATATACAGCATAACTGGAATGCAGCCCATCCCAAACTGACTTGATGAAACAACTGGACCTTTATGATTTAATAGTTAAAATTATAACAAGTGTAATAATACAATAGATTTACATGGGAAGCAAAAATCCAAGGGGCATTTTATATTAAGTATTTACTGTTCTGTTTCAATTTAAAAATAATTTTGCTAAGTATACATCTCAACTGAGGTCTATGTATAAAATGTCCTAATAGATACAGATATTTACCTTTGGTGAGTTGAAGGCCTTTTTGTGACTTCTGTCTGAATTGCAGGCAGAATGCTAGATGTACACACATGTGGGGAAAACTCAAGCTGAGGTAATCCAAAAGCTGTATATGTGAGGACACTGGAGGGACTTTGAAAGTCACTGGAGGGACTTTGAAAGTCGAAGTATACTAGAAACCCAAAACAGGTAACAATGAGGATGGCAACAGGGACTGGAATGCCAATATGGCAGGAAAACTTTTTAAAAACAGAAAAGAGGAAGGCCTCTCGTACCAGCAGAATCCTGCATACATACAAAAACAGAAAAAGCCACCCACCATTTCATAAAACAAAAGCCAACTATAGTGTGGGAAAGTACGAACTGCAGAAAACCAGGAGTCAGTAGAGGAAAAACTACTGGTTTACGTGAAAGAAAGGAAACTATTGTTCCGAGAAGTTACTTGGTGAATGCGGCCACCACCGCCCACAGAACCTCGTTGGTGCTGGCCTTCAGACATTCCACCTCTGGGTCAAGGTCAAGCAGCTGTCGCACTCTCTTGGTGGCTAAATCATACTGCTCGTCCAGAAGAGGAGCAAAAGCGTTCTCCAGGACATCCGAGGCATGTGCTAGGTAAATGAGGGCCAGCAGGCGCTTGTCCATGCGGTGAGGGTCGTTCACCCATTTGTCAAGAACGGCTTCTTGGACTTTCTTGATGAGGCGCTGCTTGATGTTGTTGTTGGTGAGCGGATGTGTCGTCATGTCAAAAAGTAGAAAGTTTTGTTTCTCTGTTGTCAATACACCCTTTTCCACCAGGTTTTTAGCCAATCGTTCCCGCACATTTCTTAACTGATAATGCAATTTCAATGGATTCCATGTCTCACCTAAACAGAAGATTTCAGAAGTTAGAAATAATGGTATTACCTGCTAAATTTGCAAAATTTTTGTTATGTTAAAATGAACAGCAAATTTGGTATTTTTTTCCAGAGAAACAGAAAATCTGGGATCAGCATATGGCATAATGGTTAACATCACAGGACTCCTATGTAGTCGACCGCAGTTCAAGTCCTGGACCTGGTGGCTTAAACTCACACTAGGTACATGTGCATGCATGCCCAAAATCCTGAGAGGAGAATGAAGAAGGTATGGCCATCCTCCCAGGGGGTGATTTCTCGCTTTCTATCTCTCTACCTCTCTGGCGAGTGCACATGCCCTATAGCAAAAATCTCTCTTAAGAAAAAAGAAGAAAGAAAGAAAGAAAATCTGAAATAGTTTAAAGTATGAGCCCCTGAAAAGGTACTATGCCTGTGGATTCTAAGTGTCTGACCCATTCTCAGGCACTGTAGTCATTCAGGACTCCACTGAAGGCAGTCTGTAGTCAGTCACCCTTAGCCTAATGTGGAAATGAGTCATGTGTTAAATCATGATATAGTCTCCTTCTAGCTAGTGTCAAAAAGCAGCCAATGGTAAAAGTTTTTCTTCTGTTAAACACCAATCTGCAACAAAGAGACATAAGAAAAAAATGCTTTCCTGATTTAATATGCTATTACTAAAACTATTACATGCACATCCTAAAAAACTATGAAACACTATTTAGGCAATGGCATCTTTGATGACAAGTAATACAAAGCTAATTCTAGAAGGACAAACACTTCCTACATATTTTAACTTTTTTTTTTTTTGCTATAGGGTGCTGCTGCTCACCAGAGGCAGAAAGTGAGGGTGGGAAGAAGAGAGAAAGCAGCCCCTGGGGGTAGGGCCCTGCCACAATCCCTTCACCTCTCAGAACTTTTGGGCATGCACACACACACATGCCTAACATGATTTTTTTTTTTTTTT